TATATTTGTTGTTGTTATGTGCCATGGAGTGGGTTCTGACTCATAGCGACCTTGTACAGGGTTTCTGAGGCTGTAAATCTTTACGGGAGCAGAATTCCTCATTTCTCTCCCGTGGAGCAGACAGTAGTTTTGAACTGCTGACCCTGAGGTTAGCAGCCCGATTTGCAAGCACTACACTACCAGAGCTCCATATATATATATTGTTGCTAAGTGCCGTCGAGTCGATTCTAACCCATAGCGACCCTGTATAGGGTTTCCGAGGAACAGCTGGTACGCTTGAACCGCCAACCTTGCAGTTCAAAGACTTTCCAGTCTGGTGCATTAACCCACAGCGCCACACCAGGACTCTGTTTATATCTTCCCCCAAATTCATTATCTTACTCAATCACCCAATTCTCTAAGGAGGCTGAGTCTAATTCAATGGAGACCACGTAGCCCTCTAGTGGTAGAACCACAATGTAGCCTCAGGAGTCTCCTCAGGATTTTACCAAGACCTCTGTTTCCTTGAGATCACATTGCTTCTCTTGGGCTACTCCAGGGACTATACATTTCATATTGCGTTTCAGAAAAGTTTTCCTTTCCCCCCATACATTACTTGGTCCTGGAGGACTAGGACTGTTGCTTCTCCTGCTCCTTTGTGTTCATCTTCACGAAGTCTATCCTGCCACACCGTGCCTGGTAAGCCCTCAAGGATAGTCGAAGATAGAAACTGGCCCATTGTGGGCTAGGGCAGTCCTAGACTCAGTGAGAGCTGCGAGGAGTCTAGGAGACTCCTCCTCCCTGGTGACTCAGAACCAGGAAGTGACAGCACAGGCAGTGGCTCTGTGACAGCGCCACCTATGAGCATCCTTCCTCTGAGCTGAGGGAGGGGCTCATGATGACCCTCAGCCTGGGCTTCCACCTCCCACTACTAATCAGAGCTACTCCCTCCTTTCCTTCCCATTCTCGCATCACGTCCCTCAGAAGAGTCTAAAGAAACGTGTACAAAAAATTTAATAATTTAACGCCAAAACCTCTTGTAGCAGATACAAGCTTACTTTGGTTCACATAGCATGTTAAAACCTTCAAGTGATCGTACTTAATTTTACTATGATTTGAGACACATATTTTAACATCTTTCCACATAGTAACCTCCTATTCCACCTACCGCCAGAAAGAGGAACCTCCTATTCCACCTACCGCCAGAAGTACCCTGAAACCTTCTGAAAAAACAACCAGTTTCCACGAGAGCAGGCATAACTCACTATTTTTCAACAGGCCACCCACACTGTGTTATCTTGTTTAGTCATGTGTCACTTAGCTTTGGCAAGGGAGATTAGTGTTCATTTTAAATATTAAAATTTTAAGTGTTTTACAAGACAAAGACTCAAATATCCTTAGTTGCTAATTACTGAATAATAACAAAATAATCAGCATCTGAACATAAGGCCAAATGTAGAGCAGTCATTTCAAACCTCCATTGTTATACCTGCATAATAATGTATTTCGCTTTATAACCTGAAGACGAGCAATCTATATATCAATCCACACACAGTACCTCAACAACTTCCTTAATAGAGCTCAGGTCGAGCTCAGGCTCTGGTTTCCGGGTGCCCAGTGAAGCAGAAAGGGCATCAAGTGCTTGATCGCTCATTGTATCCTGTTAAAAATTAAAAATTATTTACATTAAAACAATGTTTCCTCAGACTCATAATATTAACTTGTTGGTGAAATACAAATTTAAAATATAAGACATGAATTGTGGTATAGGGAAGTACTTTAGGAAGGAGATTTATTTGAAAACCGAACAAAGAAAGAAAAATAAAAAGAACTTACCAGTGAGTGTAAATTGGAACTAAGACACGTTTTTACAATAACAGTGTTCTCATAGGCAAACTTCACTCCTTAGTTAGCAAGGTGGAATTGTAATTAAATGATAATAAAATGCTTTCATAAAAATAAAAGTTTCAGGTCATAAACTTTCATCATCCTGCTTTTCTTTTTCTAAAAATGATCCTCTCAAAATGACTTTTGATAGCTCTGGTTTTTTTTTTAGCAAAACGGCCACACTCAGGAAGAAGGGAAATGAAGTGGCTGGCTGGTGCCTCTCTTTTCTGACGGCACAAAGGCTAGTGGGTGTAGGAACGCCTGTTCTCAGGGGTGTGGTGCTCCCCAGTCAGTCAGATAAAAATAAACTGTACACATGAGGGGAGAGGCAGACACTCTGATAGAAACTGCTCCTTAACATGATCCTGACTGGGACATGGTTTCTCTTGAAGCCCATACCTGTATACCATCATTTGGAGTTTGAGAGAATTAACTCATTGCTTACTGTGGTGCAAATAGTTAATACTATTGACTGTTAATGAAAAGGCTGGAGCTTCAAGTTTACCAAACAGCAGCTTGGCAGAAAGATCTGGTGATCTATTTTTGAAAAATCAGCTGAAAACCCTATGGAGCAGAGTTCTATTTTGATGACTATATGAGTTGGAGTCACATCCAGAGCTATTGGTTTTTACTGTAGTGAAGACAGGTGGGCAGAGGCAGTTACAACAGTCCTCCAGTGAACCATAGGGTTTAAACTCTGCTAGATCCCTTTAGAAAAATCAAAGGTTTGAAAATTTGATATTCTAAGAGTATAATTTCTCTAGTTTTCTGCCTTCCTGTGTACGGTAATAGTGAATGGTCTTGTTTTACCAAGACAGTTTACTATTACAGTACACAGGGAGGTAGAAACAAAACATTCTTAAAATCTTTATAGAAACACATGAGGTTTGCCTTGAGATAGATGTTCAACATGCCCTTAATTAGGTTCACTATTCCACATAAAATAGAAAGAAGATAAATTCATTGTGTGTACTGAACTGCTGGGATTACCCTGAATACACTAGACTGGACTCAGGAAAGAAACTGGTGGACTGGGGATCTTTTAAAGAAACAATTACTGATACCTTCTCCACCTTTCTCTTCTTCTCATGGGGTGGAGCGGCACTTCTGATGACTTCAGCTGACTGAGCTTTTAAAACCTCTCCTGTAGGTTTCTAAAAGTCAGACAGAAAAGATCAGATTTATAGATGAAGAAACTGTAATTGTAATAATCATAAGATGCTGTTGTTTTATTATCAGAGATGCTTTCTAACAAGTTCACCCTAATATCCTGAAACGATACCTCTTTCTTAGCTTTGTTTCCATCAGTGGTAGGAGAGCTGCAGGTGAAGTCAGATGACAAGGCATTTATAGCATCATCAGGTCCCATGGGTTTCTAAAGAAACAGGCACAAGAAGAGATTGTACTCTCAGCAAGTGAAGAGGGTACGTTTGAAAGCCATTTATACCCAAACCAGATATACTAATGACATAACTCAGATAATAGCCACTATTTGGAATATTTGGAAAGCAGTAGGTATTCTAAATTATTGTTTTCCCTCTCCTCTCTTCTAAGGTATTGCATGTTAGGATATTCTCATTTGAATTTTATTAAATTTATTTTATACTAATGCTTTCTTTGTTCCATTCCTCTTACCCTTAAAAATGCTTAAAACCAATGAACACTGAGACCCCTCATGTCTATCCACCCTTCATGTCCATCTCCTTTCTCCTAAAAGATGGAAATTTCATCTGATTTAGAGGTCAGAATATAGAATTTAGAGTGTGGCGCTGTGGGTTAATGGGATAGACTGCAAAGTCAGTTTGAACTGCAAGGTTGGTGGTTCAAGCTCACCAGTTGCTCCTTGGAAACCCTCTAGAGGGTCGCTATGGGTCGGAACCGACTACATGGCACTTAACAACAACAATAAGGAGTCCTGGTGTGGTGCTATGGGGTTAATGTGCCAGACTGCAAAGCTGTTTAACTGCAAGGTCAGCAGTTCAAGCTCACCAGCTGCTCCTTGGAAACCCTATTTACAGGGTCGCTATGGGTCAGAACTGACTCAATGGCACTTAACAACAACAAACATAGAATTGATAGTCCAAAGACATAAAATATACTAACTTACAGATTCTGAAAGTCAGCTATGTAAGCTTACCTCAGAGGATGCAGGAGGCTGTGTGATCCCTTCATTTTTCTGAAACAAATATTAATTTGATGGCATTAAGAAGGCATCTAGTTTTCAAAATTATCCTTTATTCTCAAACTTAACTGCTCAGTGAATTTCATAATAAGGTAATAACAGTTTCATGTGCCCCATTATATTTTCTAAATTTTTAAAATTTTCAAGACATTGATTTGATAAAAATTACATTCCAGTAAACAGTGAGATAAAAGTAAATGATGATTTAACTTACAGCCAAAAGTTCCCTATATTTTGGAGGAATTGTGACTTCTCTTTTACCCAATTCTTCTATGTAGGTAGAAGTCATTGGGTCCTGGGAAAAACAAAACAAAACATACATACATAGGGTTATATAATTAGTTGAGAAGGTTATGTGTAGCTTCTGAAACCAAATTTGATACCATTATCGCTTTATGAAACTAATAAGATGAAATATAAATCATTAAGAAGCCAATAATTGAAACAATTCTGACATGCTAAAGTATACTAATACTTTCCCATATTTAATTGGCTTAACCTATGTCATGCTAAAAAATATTTTAAACACTACACTGAAAGTGATTCATATATTAATAAAACATTTTGTTTAAAAATGCTTTCTCACTTTAAGCACTATAAAGTTTTCCATAATGTTTTTATCCCATCTCCTGAGTGAAACTGTTTCCACATTTTCACTAGTTCTCATACTAACTCCTTGTCCATGAGGACAAGGCTCCCTCTGGGGAATTTCTCTAGATGTGGAATTGCTGGCTGAAGTGTACGTGTATCTTCAACATCCACCAGCTATATGTGAGTTGTCTGCCTTTCACACTTTTGCCAATCTGATAAATGTGAGGCAGCCTCTCTCCATGTTTTAATATTCTCCTCATTGCTAGAGACCAAGCACTTGTGGCATAGTGGCCCACAGGTTAGGTTGCCAACCTCAAGGTCAGCAGTTTGAATCTACCAGTTGCTCTGTGGAAGAAAGGTAAGGCTTTCTACTCCCAAAACCCTTAACGAGTCATAATGAGTCAGTATGGACTCGATGATACACAACCACCACCACAATTACCAGGAAGACTCTTAATATATTGTCTACTGGCCAATCAGGTTTTGTACTTTTTACAAAATCTGGAAACAAATCTTTATTTCTGGTGCATATATTTTATTCCAGTTTACAGCCTTTTTTTTTTTTTATGTGTGTAATAACAAGAAAAAGGAGGTCTGGTAGTGTAGTGGTTACGAATCGGGCTGCTAATCTCATGGTCAGCACTTTGAAACTACCAGCTGTTCCATAGGAGAAAGATGAGGCTTTCTGCTCCTGTAAAGATTTACAGTCAAAGAAACCCTCAGAACCGACTGCACGGCACATTAACAACAAATATTAGAAACATATAACTTTCTTACTAATAAGAAGTGAGGGTAGGAAATATCTGGAAATCAAAATAAATCTTGAGGACAGAAAAATACGTCTCTGTGAATCAAGGCTATGCTCAGTGCCGATACTCAGTCACTGTTTGCTGAATCACTCAATGTAACAGTAGCAGCTACCACAGGAGAAACTGAGCTGCGTGGCCACCACCGGTTTTTAGTTGCTGATATCATCCTGTTTTTATCCCAGTGATAACCTGGATATTCTCTCACATTTTTGAAGAATTTATTTAATCTCCTACTGATTTTGGTGTGATGCTGTAGGGTAAACATTGGAATGCTAACCACAAGGTCAGCTGTTCAAATCCACCAGCCACTTCTCGGAAATACTACACAGGGTCGTTATGAGTTGGAACTGACTCAATGGCACTTAATAGCAACAACACCTAATTATGTCTGAATCTTTACAGATTTCAAGATCACATACTGAAACTTCCGGTCCAGTATACGTTGTATTATTCTGTTCATTTTCTTCAGGTTCTCCTAAAGTGTCTATTAAGTCATCCAAAGCAGCGTCCATGCCTGACTGGAAAAGACAGAAAGCAGACATTTACGTTAGACATGGGTAGTACAATGGCTCTGTATGATAAGCCAACCACAAAGTTGACGGTTCGAGCTTACCAACTGCTCTGTGAGAGACAGATGAGGCTTTCTGCCCCTGCCCAGATGCACAGCCTCAGAAACACTATACAGGGGTTGCTATGCGTTGGAAACAACTCAAAGGCACTTAACAATGTTACGCATATTTCATGTTAGGATTTTACGAAATGAAAACACTAAATACCAAAAGTTCTTCAATATCAAAAGAGATAAAATCTGGTTTCTAATAGAACTTATGATTTGAAATCCCAGAACAGATTCTAGGTTGGAAAGACAAAAAACCAATATTCAGGTAACAATCATGATTTCAATAAGTTTAAAGGTATTAATCATGTGTTCATTGAAGTCTCCTGTCCAACATTCTGACAGTAAAAAAGAAGCTAAACAAAACACAAGAGAGTTATGGCCATGTTTCTTTAAGTATAGGACAAATGCTTGGTAATTACTGATTATCAATTATTTTCCAGAGTTTCATATAAAGAACCCCAACAAAATTTCTATACAGATTGTCTCCAAACAGAATATTTCAAAAGTGATCCTTTCATTTGCATCCTTTGGTTCATTTGCTTGTCTGAAGAAGTTTACAAAACAAATATTACTTAAAAGGGATGTCAAACTTATGAGACATGATTAGCTACTTTGTCAATGTGGGTTTAAATCAGTATTAATGAATGGAAGGGCACCTTCATTTTATGTTTGAAGTTAAGAATGAATCTTTGTGGATAATTGTTGTTGTTAGGTGCCATCAAGTTGCTAATGACTCATAGTAAGCCTATTAACAACAGAACGAAACACTGCCCGGTCCTGGGCTAACTTCACAATCATTGCTACATCTGAACCCATCGCTGCCACCAGGGTGCTAATCCATCTCTTTGGGAGTTTTCCTCTTTTTCTCCGGCCCTCCAATTTATCAAATATGATATCCTTCTCCAGTGACTGGTCTCCTCCTGATAATATGTCCAAAGTCTGAGAGACCAAGTTTGGCCAGGATGGCCATCCTAACTTCCAAGGAGCACTCAAGCTGTACTTCTTCCAACACAGATTTGTGTGTTCGTTTGGCAGTCCATGGTACATTGATATGGATGTTGTTTATTGGTCCAGTCCAGTGGTGAGGATTTTTATTTTCTTTACATTGAGATGTAATCCATACCAAAGGCTGTGGTCTTTGCTCTTCATCAGTAAGTATTGTAAGTCCTCTTCACTTTCAGCAAGCAAGGTTGTATCATTATCTGCATATTGCAGGTTGTTAATGAGTCTTCCTTCAATCCTGATGCCACACTTTTCTTCATATAATCCTATTACTTGCTCAGCATACAGTTTGAATAAGTATGATGAAACAATACAACCCTGGTGCGCATCTTTGATAATTTTAAACCATTTGGTGTTCCCTTGTTCTGTTTGAACAACTGCCTCTTAGTCTATGTACAGGTTCCTCATGAGCACAATTAAGTGTTCTGGAATACTCATACTTCATAATGTTTTCCATAGCTTGTCATGATCCACAAATCAATTCGCCTTGCATAGTCAATAAAGCACAGATAAGTATCTTTCTGGTATCCTTTGCTTTTAGCCAAGATCCATCTGACGTCAGAAATGATCTGCCTTATTCCATGTCCTCTTATGAAACCAGCGTGAACCTCTGGAAGTTCTCTGTCAGTGTATGTTTGCAACCATTTTTGTATTACTTTTGTTGTTGTTGTTAAGTGCCTTCAAGTTGGTTCCAACTCATAAAGACCCTGTATAGGGTTTCCAAGAAGCGGCTGGTGAGCTTAAACCACCAACCTTGTGGTTCACACCAACCTTGCAGTCCAATGCATTAACTAGCAGCGCCAAGCCAGGACTTCATTTACCTTTAGTAAAACTTTGTTCACATGGAGTATCAATGGCATTGTCTAATGATTTCCGCATTCTGTTGAGTTACCTCTCTTTGGAATGGGCACAAATAAGAATCTATTCCAGTCAGCTGGCCAGGTAGCAGTCTTCCAAATTTCATGGAATAGGTGAGTGAGTGCCTCCAGTGCCGCACCACTTTGTGGAAAGATTTCAATTTGTATTTCATCAATTCCTGGTGCCTTATTCTTTCCCTATGACTTCAATGAATCTTGGATGTCTTCCTCCAGGATCACTGACTCTTGATCATATGTTACCTCTTGAAATGGTTGAACATCGACCATTTCTTTTTTGGTACAGTGACTCTGTGTATTCCTTCCATCTTCTTCTTATGCTTTCTTCAGTATTTTGTCCAAAGAATCCTTCAATACTGTAAGTTGGGACTTGAATTTTTTCTTCAGTTCCTTCAGCTTGAGAAATGCTGAGCATGTTCTTCCCTTTTGGTTTTCTAACTCCATGTCTTTGCACATTTGTTATAATGTTTGACTCTGTCTTCTCGAGCTGACCTTTGAAAATTCCTGTTTGGCTCTTGTACCTCCTCTCTTCTTCCATTTGCTATAGCATCTCTACACTAGAGAACAGTTTCAGAGTCTTCTTCTGACATCCATTTTGTCTTTTCCTTGTTTTTTCTCTTCTTAAGGACCTTTTGTTTTCTTCCTGTATGATTTTCTTAATGTCATCTGACAACTCTTCT